TCCGTTCCTTTTTCTTGCTTATCTCCCCGCTTTGCACCACCGCCGGACGCAGAAAAGAAACAACCCGCAGGGAAAAGGAAGCTTAAAGGAAAAGCAATAAGCAGATCCAGAAACCCTTTTTTTCTTTTTCCAATTGTCGTCATGCCATTGAATAGGAGATCCCTGCGATCAGAAGCAGTAAACATGCTAAACTCCCTCGACTTCTCCTGGCAGCACGTCACATACAAGACTCTCGCCTCCGTCTGGGTGCTATTTGTGTTTTACCTGAGCTGGCTCCTTCTGCCTGAGGTCTCCGCTATCTTCCATGGTTTAGGCAACGGGAACGGAACGGCTGGAGGAGCAAGAGGTTCGGGTTCCAGAGGACACAATGCTGCCATCCCTTCTTCTTCCCCAGACTCGTCCTTGGTCCAAACAACTGCTGTTACCGCTGCCGCTGGTGGCGAGCCTGTTGAATTCAGTGTGATCGGGTGCGTTTTTCGAATAGAACTGCTCATGATCAGTCTTCTTGTTTCAATGTCAGTTGCTTACAGGTTCAAGCAGGACACCCTTTATGCTCATGCAAGAAACCTGTCTCGATTTTGAATTGCTGAGGGGAATCCATTCTGAGCATGGGTATGGGCCTTCTGCTACAGCCACTTACCACGATGGTGACCGCGCCCTGCCTCATATTAATGGACAACCTTCCGAAATCGAACCAGTTGGCTCCCGAGTGAGCCTATAGATACCGTCAGATGGGACAATCCGCCGAAATTTTTCTCTCGTTATACCAAGTTCCTTGACCCCTATCCCTTCGCTCACTTTCCTTCTCTTCACAACTTTCGTTATTCTCTTTTCCTTCATCGATAAGAACTCAGCATTTCGCGTGACTCGATACCTTGCGACAATGATCTGCAACGAGTTAGCATATAATTCATCACTCTTTGTTCGGCCACCGGCGGGCCACCATTACAACCGGACATCACAGAAACGACCACAATCCCTTGTCTGGGAAAGGAGGTGTGTGTGTGTGTGAGGGTGATTGTGAGAAGGCATTCATAGGAGACAGTGCCCCCGTGAGTGCGAACACTCAATGCTTGGTTGCACCGAAATATCTCGTTGTTTCTCTCTCCCTCCCTTCTGCACCTCTCTCAAAGTCTGACAGACTTAACTCGACTAGAAATGGAAAAGATCAGAAATTGGCTTTTTGTCTTTTGCTTTGGGAGGGGAATGCTTTGACGTTTCGTTTCTGTTGCTTTCATTTGGGTACATTCCGAGTAGCCCATTGGCTGTTGTCGATGTCGTTTTTGTTATCCGTGGGATGAATCAGTTGGAGGGCATGGTCCAAAATGCAAGAAAAAAGAGATATGAGTTATATGATCTGGGGAGAAAATTTATACACGGATGGTGGCTACTCGAGGAAGCAGTCAGGAGAGCTTACAACATCACCCGATTTGACCGACTTGTTTCTTCTTTTCCATCAGCCTGGTGCTTTGCACCTCTTATTTTTGAACGTTCATGCCTTCACCTACTTACCTGTCACTGGTGGGAATTCAAGGCAGTACACCCACAGAATAACATGAGAAGGGAGTCCCTTACCATGTGAAGAAATTTCTCATGAAAAAGAAGAAAAACAAGAATGATCTCAATCAGATCCAGCTTGCTTTTATTTCATGTCAAAGTCCCCAATTCCTCTCTTCTTCTCTAACTACCACCCCTCTTCTTGGGATGGTCATGATCTCTCAAAAAATCCCCTTGCTTCCCCCCTCGTCCAATCCATCGATTGCACTACTCCGTATCAGATGGCGTTTAATCTACCACAAACGAATGCACAGACGTTTGGGGTGGCAGCCTCCATCATCAGCAGCTTCTAGATCGACGCCGATCTTCCACCGCCCCCGCCTTACAATCCAATCACAGCAACTTAAGGACCCCTGACCCTCTAGCTAAAGCGGCTATATCGATCTAGTAATGCTTACTGTGGAAATATAAGGCGTATTACGAGATCCCCAAGTTTATCTTTCATTGTTTGTTGCCTCTAGCACCGTATGACCATGCATTCCTTTAGTGCAAATGACGACATTCTTGCCAAGTGGTATGACTCTCCTGCGGAAGTAGTATAATAGGTAAATCGAAGCGTGCATTTTCCGATCTTGGAGGGAAAAAAAGAAAGAACTTGATTAGTCGAGTCAGTGCACCCTCGCTTTTCTCACGTATAACTTAGCCAGACACACATACAACCACGAAAACGCCATGATAGTCAATTAACAATAATATGAGGGCTGTCGCATGTGTAACAAATTGAGAAATGAATCATGCTGGCGGAGACAGCTGAAGTTTGTTCTGAGAAACTACGTCTAGAATCATTGAGAAGAGTATGATGTGTTCGAAAGAGAAAAAGACTGAAAAATAGTATCTATGATTACTACTCGAGTCTTCTTCTTCTTTGACACCCTATGGCTAACTTTTCTTCTCTTTGCGATTGCCTCCCTCTCAAATCCTCGGTCTCTCCTGATCTATCATTCATTATCTGCGCTCGCCTCCTTATCTGCCTTTCAGTGACTAGCACAAATTTGAGGGCGCATGGCTGAAGTGGCAAAAATGTTTGCGATCTTTACATTGCTGCTTCTCGCCGTACGCTCATTGGGCTATGTCATTCCATCATCCACGGACCGCCCCTTCAGTACGATTGAGATATCAGGACCCACTCCAGCTGACATCGAGACATTAAATGGCACTGAGCAATTAGGCCTTAAGTCAACTGCCACGGGCCTAGTCAAGCAACAACATGGTGAGCCCACCTTCGACATCACAAACTTAAGAGGCGGACTTATAGCTGACGTCTTAGTTCCTGAAAAGACCATGATGCACTGGACCAAAATATCTATACACTCAGTGTCCGTGATGAGACACCTGATAACACCTCTCTCTCAACGCCATCGTCTCAAGCAATCATCTCTAACGTTCCAGACGACATGCGGCCTGGAATAAGCGCTGGGGTTGCCATCTCCCTCATAACAGCGTCCGTCATCGCTCTGATGATGACTCTGGCCTTTGGATTTTGGCTATACTGTCGACGCAAGAAAGCCGTTACCAATTGCAGAAGTAACCCCCTTATTGACAAGTCGCTCAGTTAAGGGTCTGTGGAGTCAGTCGTGTTTCCGGTCACGACGGCGGAGAGGCAGACGTATGCTCAGAAAGCGAATGTCGCAGAGCTGTCGTCAAATTGGACCTCGAGAAGCAATTCGCGTTGTAGGGAGATGATGAAGGGTAAATGAAGATAGACAAAAGGTAGTACGTGCTTCGCATCATCTTTTCTTTGAAGTGTTGTCTTCTCTAGATGATTCGCATGTCCTTCATTTCCGCGTTCTTGTCATGTACATATACGAATCAGAACTGGCAGACTGGATTGCCAGCACGTGTAGACTCTTCAACAACGTCATCTGCGCTATTCAGGCAAGTCGCAATGCAATCAAGCCGACGTCAAGCCTGTCAATATCAGAAAAGATGCCATGTATCTACGGAGTATCAATGGAACAATGCCAAAGAAGGTTTTGGTGCACAACGGCTGAACCCGAAACTTTAATAAGTTTGATTGGGCACCGTTGACCTATATTTAGATATTGATGTTTTTGCATCTGCTTGCGACAGAGAGAGCAGCAGGATTTGGGAAAGAATGAAAGCTATTGTCATCAACTTTTTGAATAGCTGAGCCTTGTATCTTGGCTGATGATAGGGGCAAGCTGGAATCGCACAATGTGGGTAAAGACATGATTGACGCAAGGTGGGCTCATGTCGTTAACACCGATCGTTGGATGGCAAAAACCTTCGCACATCTCAAGCCAGGCCCTGCCCTCTTTACTCAATTCTTTGGCACTCTTCTGTAGCGCTGTCATGGTGAACCGTGAGCCTCCGGCAGCTAATGTAGCATCGCTTATTCTAGTCTATTTGTCGATTTCAAGCTTAGATTCAATTTCAGCCTTCGCCTGAAGCAGAGGGTTATCCTGTGCATCCAAATTAGCAGACAGTATCGCAGATAGTACTTTCATACTCGGGGCTGTCCTCACATTGTTCTCCGAAAATGTTCGAAACGCGGTTTTCAGATCGGAGTATCGAGCACGCAATTGACCAGACGAGACAGCTTCCCCGGTCATCACCTCCCACTTCTCTTGAATGTAGCTCCACGGCTTGTCCTGATCCCTCATCGCGAACATCATTCTGTCTCTGTCACTGGCCTCTTTCAAAGTGGTGGGACGCGCTTTTCCTTTTCGTGGTGTTTCCTTGACAAAAGAAGAAGAAGGGGTTTTTCGTCCCCTTATTGAACGTGTTGCAGTGTCGTTTCCTTCCGACAAATCGACGTAACGTTTGATGAATGTGGTTGTCATGTTTCCGTTCTCGTCTATGACAACAGCCATTTTGACGAATTTTGCGAGATGTTGTCGTTGAGCCGGATGGGTTCCAATAGTGTAAGGTGACGCTGTCCTGCTTTTCGAAAATGCTGTTAGCATTTGCACGTCTATCTTTACATGAGAAGATGGGCAACACAAATACTTCCGTTGTGAAGACAAACCTTGAGCGTCAAGCAAATAGCAAACAGCACGATGCATGAACTGGCCTTGGCTTGAGCCTCCTCCGTAGAATTTCAACTCGTCTAATTCTTACAAGGGACCCTGGGCTCACTTTCAAAATCCTATATCAGACATCCTTCAGACACCAGAAGACAGACAGTTGAATGTTTCCGTCAGCATCATACGAAGCAAGTGATACGTTCCGACTCGACGGCGAACGTCTCTTTTGTCCCCTTCTACAAGGTCACTTGCGGCCGAACAGGTGCCTTTCCGCACTGTTTGCCATTTTTTTGAGCTCACCATTCAGTAATATTAAAAGCAACCAACACAACACCATGAATTCATCTTTCAACCATGCCAGACCTCCCCTTTTTAGTCGATCAGCGTCCTTCGCATCAACAAAGGGATGTTCTGTTGATAATATATTACTGAAGCATGGCGAAAAACAAGCGCACCGGCTCAATGGTCTAGCGGTATGATACTCCCTTCGGGTGGGAAGCAACCCAGCGCTGGCTACAGTGTTCTGAATATGGGAGTGGCCCCGGGTTCGATTCCCGGTTGAGCCCGTTTATTTTTTCTATCTTTTTTGTTGTACTCACCACCAACCAGTCCATCTGTTCCGAATCTCAAGGCGACAATCGTATCTTTGTGAAGATGGATGATATGAAAAAGCACAGAAGATGTCTCAAGCAAAGTTGTTGAGCTGCGTTTTGTGGGCTTCTTTTTCATTTGTCAGTGACAGAAATTTATGACAGCTACATACAGAATGGCGAAGAAGACAGCTATATGCCCAGGTCTTAGGACAAAACCGACAGATTGGTATATGACAGACACTCCTCTACACACAAATGCTAATTGAATGCTCCTGATTTTATGTGGGTGCAGTTCGCATGACCTGAAAGACCTCGGACAGATTAGTGATCCATTTCAGCCGGCGAGACAGATGGCATCAGTAAAAACTAACGCAGGAAACAAAACGACAAGCAGGTATACTGCTTTCCGTCCTCCAGTCAGATTGAAAACTACAACTCAGCAGCAAGATGCTTCAACGCCGTCGCCCAGAGGGTAAACAGGCGGAGCATGGGAAACAGAGGTGCGTCTCATTGACGAGGGAGCAAATCATCTGTCCTTGCTTCGGGGGGTTGAAGATAGGTTCATCATCATTGAAAGAATGGGAATTTCCACAAGCAAAGAACTCTCGAAAGAAGACAACAAGTGGAAGAGAAAAGAGAAGCATTGGAGACTCACATTATATAGCGCAGCAACCAACGTCTCTCATCCTGCCCAAGAGACATAGACAGTTCGCACCAGGCATATCGCGGAAAAGAAGGCCCTCAGATTTCTGTTCTTTTGCTCTCCATCACTGCGCCGCTAGAGCAGTTATGTGAAAGGTCATGCCGGTCCTTCCATCTACCTTTCGTTCTTGAAGGAAGCAGGGTAAAGGATGAAGCAACGGCATGTAGCGATAAAACGCTCAGGATAGCTCCGTGAAGGATTTATCGTCATTGGGATCTTGTCGTCCTTCTCCTGTCATCTTCAGGTCGGATGGTCGCTCAATTTCCAAGTAATTCGAGATTCGCAGGCTGAACATATAAAGCCTCGAGACTCCCTCGATCGATCCAAGAGGCCAAGCCCGAAACAGCAAAACCCTTGAAGACAGAACAGGCCATGAACTCATAATGCGTTGAAATGCGTAGATGGTATATAATGTTGGGAATTGTTAGTCAATAGAGTAGTATATGTATGCACCAAACAAAATGCGTACACATCCTGGGGGTATCTTCTTCGAATCTAGGCCTTCTTCTTCTGCTTCTTCTTCTTCACGAGCCAATGTCGTTTAACCTCGCCCTCTTCCTCTGGCCCTACCACCTCTTCCACCTCGGCCACCTCTGTCTGACCTCCCGTAATCTCGCTGCTGGTTGTAGTGCCCGTGGCCGCCACGGTTCCTGTTCTGGTTTTGTGTTTGCTGTTGTTGTTCGCGGGCGAGATCGACAATTTCGTCGGGAATGCGGAGGTATTTAATCTGCGCGTCAGATGCTATCAGTATGGTGATCCCCATGCGATGCAGAGGGATCGCTGGCACGCTGGACAAGCTATCTCTGGCGGAAAGTCGATCATGATGGTTCGCACTACTTACATTATTGCCCCTGACATACACCTCTGGTAAATGCATGAACTTGTCGCCCTCGGGACTTGTCTGGACAACAGCCTTGAGGACCAGATTCATGAAATTATCGCAGTTGACTAAATGGCCGTTTAGCGTTTCGCCATTCTTCAGCTCCACGAGCATCGGGTGCCCGCGGGCAACGTTCAAGAGGCCCAAGGGAAGCTGGAATAAAGACGTCAGAAGAGAATGATATATGCGATCGAGATGGGCCACCATGAACAAATGTATGAGGGGTGCTTGAAGAGGGTATGTTTGGGGGTGGACAATTACCATATCTGGTGATGACGGCGGGAAACAATCAAGACGCGACAGAAGACGGGGTAACTTGGAATGAGCGCAGTCGCCACGGTTTGCAGAGTATGACACCAAGCTTCAACAGCTCACTCAAGCTGTCTTTCGTTGTTTCAAAGCGTCTGTTGATGTGATCCAATGTACATGCGCATCGCATCACCACTTCCAGTTGCTGCCTGGTTGTTGTCTCGACTGGTGGCGGCGGGCGTGGATCAAAGTGCCCCCGCCAACCGACCGACCGTTCGTACACCACCGGCCCTCACGCCCTCACGCCCTTAAGCCCTCAAGCCTAAGACGAAGCCTGGGGCCGGGACCTGGAACCTGACGGGGACGAGACCAATCAATATGGGCCTTCCTGGCAGTCCTCAATTCTTGGCCGTGGAGCCACCCCGCCGCCCCCGTCTCACCCAGCAGACTCCATAGCTCAAGGGGATGGATGGTTCTCTGAATTGAGACACAGCTGCAGTGCGGTTAGACTTCGAGCTTTTCTGCAGCGTGACAACGAGGAACAGGGACATGCACGGTGACACAGCTGCGACTGCGACGACAGGAAGACCGGTTCGAAGGAACGAGAGACACACGAAGCAGAAGCAGAAGAGCTATTCACGAGGAAAACGTCCATTCTACCTTGCAAGGAGTCGCGGGCCCAGCAGCCTACTCGAAATGTGCGCCCGAAGTTGACTCATGTCTCTTCTGTCGCTGCAACTGCAACTGCAATTATGCGCGCATTCACGTTCATCGCCCGTCTACTGACTTGCGTGTGCGTCTGGCGATGCTGCTACTGTCATGACGTCTCCGCCAGGCCGGGGAAATTCGTGAAGGGGTGCAAAGTGTCTATAAGGGGCCCGTCACCGAGTAAGTAGACAGGAGTGAAATTCGTCACAGTGGATATCGATCAACCCATCTTGCTAAAGCGGAATTTCCTCCACCAGATACAGATGTGCATACTCTTACGACAATACTTGGAATTCCTACTGTCTGTGATGACGATGATGACGTGCGTGCTGGCTTTTGTCTTATTTCTTGTTGTTGTTGTTGTTGTTGTTGTTGTTGTTGGGAGTACGCTGACCAAATCCTTTGCAGACGATCGAATTTAGCGTCATAAGTAGAACTTCTTATGATGAAAACTATGACAATCAATGCGACAAGAGTGGTCTATTGTCAAACAGACTGCGCTGGCTTCGAGGCCTGAACTTACAGGCCGACCTTCTGCGTGAGCCTTTGACAAATGCGCATGTATACTACGGTTTCGTCTGCAAAACAGGCAATGGACAAGAGCCCTCAAGACTTCTATCTCAAATCCTCTTCTGCTATCTTTGTCCTGAACTACAGGCGAGTACCATCAAGGCAACTCCATCTCTTGAGCTTCTGCCGTTGCCTCTTCCTGCAAGTGCATCACCTCGGTCTGCGCACTACGCCATCTCACTTTCCGGTGTGATTTCGGAGCTGCTTGCTCACCAGGTTGACTCTCCTGAGGCTGATGACGCAATTAGGGGCTTCAATTCTGATAAGTCAATGCTAGATTACAGCGAGAGCTCGTATATCCAACAAGCAGATGAAGAGCCAGAGCTGAGAATAGGTGTGGTCAGGGTATCCTCAATTTGCAAAGCTAACGGAGTCCGATGTCTGCATATGCAACCAAAGTATACAGACGGGTTGCTTTCATCGTCATCATTGCAAGCAATGCGGCATTCAAAGCGGGATCACAATGAAATCATAGACGCCGTTGATCCAGACATCGCTGATGAAGACAACGAAGATCAGAGAACCAATCACATTGACAAGGAAACTCCCATTGATTTTCACACCACCGAAATCCCAATCTCAGCGTCACAACCCACATCTCTCCCTACTTCTCAGCCATATTTTATTCAGCTTAATACTTCAACTGAAGGCGAAGCTCAGAATTCTGATGCGTCGTCCAAACCAAACTTCATGCAAGATCCCCAAACTCGGAAGATGTTTCGATCTCTCGCCATAGTCGCCCTGACCATTTGCGTGAAATGGCTGGTGATCAAATACATTCGAACAACGACTGCATACAGGCGACGCAGGGCTGATCTATTGTCGCAGACAGAAGAGAGGGGGCGGAGAAGGAGGTACAGGAATGCGGCGAGAAGATATAGATTGAACATGTGGGTCAGAAGACAGGTCAGGAGAGTAGGAGTACCAGGCCAAAGAAGAAATGAAAACGGCCATGACGAGGGACAGGGGCATGGAGATGCCGGGGGCACGGCAGATATCGCAAGCAGTGCCAACAATCGAAGCTATCACCATAATCACCATCGCCCGACAATCAATGGCACCTCGTCTCTCCCAACACATTCAACCCGCCCACCACTCATGGAAGACGAACTTCTCGGCTTCCGCCGTGTCCTCGAATACGTCGGCGAACTTATTCGCGGCGACATCATCTACGATTCTGATTCCCTCTCACCAACACTCTCCATGGATTTGGAAATGGGATATGGCTCCGATATATCAATGTTTGACTATAACTCCGATGGTGCCAACGATGAAACCAATGGCAGCAGCGACGGAGACGATGCTCGTCGTACAAGACGTAACGAACTCATGAACATCGCGTGGGAGTATGGGTATGGACCCGGCAGGTTTGCGACACCGCCGCCGAGTAGTATCGCCCAGTTGACGACATTCAGTAGTCCACGGACGAGTGATGAAGGGAGCGAGGGTGGTGATGGTGGCACTCCGCGTGTTAGTGTTGGGAGTGATGCCAATGCTAGTGACGACGGAAGCTCCACCACGGGTGTCGACGGAGATAGCGAAGGTCGAAATGGAAGGCGGGATAGTGAAGAGGTTGACTTGGCCAACATGAGTGTGAGTGATGAAGGCAGGGAGGAGACGGATATGTTGATCGCGAGAGCGGAGAATATTATGGCGAAATGAACATGGACGTTTGCATCTCTTTCAGGTTTCGTTCACGAGGTCGTCTAATGGTTATGAAGGTGATGTCTTCTTCAAATACCCTAATATACATCAAGATTACATACCCCTAATTTTGCTTCAACTAAAACAGCATGATCAACTTGTACATTACTAGATTAATATTCAATTGCTTTTTTAAGACATGCAAACCTGATGGTAGGT